GTGAGTTGCCAATTGGTTTTCCAGTCCTCACGCTCAATATCTGCTGTTAATTTGCTTGCTATTTCAAGAACTTGAAGACTGTCAGCAAAATCCATGATGCATTACAAAACTTATAATTGGAAAGGAAAAAAAACCCCTCTGACACTTTTCTGACAGGATAAACAGAGAGTCTGAAAACACTGATCAGAACAAGGCAGAAGTACTAACTTGGAGCTTGCTTGTACTAAAATATCATTGCAATATTTTTAAACTGATATAAAATCATTTGMTAAAACCCCAACTTTTACACTGGGCTGAAAAGAGAAGGAAAAGATTGCACCAAACATTATTTTTAAAGGACATGGCTGAACCTGCCTCTGCCTCCTTAAGGTTGCATTATCTATGCCAATTAAAATTTTGCTTCTGAAAAAAAGAGTTAAGGCACTTCCTCTAGAGTTACTAAAAAAAGCAAATGAAAGCCTTGGCTCCGCAGCAGTGAGTGATAGTGAGCCGTTTGTTCTTGACCTCTGGATCACCCTCCAGATCAAATTCTTGGACATAGGAAAAACCCACTAGTATTCATTAAAAAGCAACTGGGAGGCCAGCTTTGTGCTTCTGTTCTCGAGACCAGAACAAGCTACAACTTGACAAACGTGCAGGATATTGCTGAACAATGCTGCTGTTCCTGTCAGGAGGGAAGAGCTTTATTCCCCAGCTTCGTTCAGGGGGGATTAATTTTCATCACAATGATGCAAATCACAGATTTTCAGTSGTTATTTGAATAATTGATTGTCACCTTTTACGTTTGTGGTGCTTTGCAGTTAACCCCATGAAGCTGATTTCTGTTAACCATTAATGTACACTGATTTATGCTGAATTTAGTTTTTAAACTACACATTTTTTCCTTCAAAGATATACATTTATCTCCAGTTATCTAAACAAATATATTGCCTGAAAGTCCCAGCTCTCCAGCTTTACTTCTCATTGTAAGACATGGGTGGAATTTGCCCACATATTTTCATAGCTAATAAAGATACAAAGGATTGCCTTATTCAATTATTTTATACTTACAGCTTTTGWCATTTTTTGTGACGTTTTTATGCAGAACAGAATTTAAAATCCACAAATAAGCCTATTGCTTCATTATTCATAAGTACCACGAATTTCAGTGCACACAAAACAAAGTAAACCACAATACTTTTTCTTTGCAACTATTTTTCTCTTTCAAGAAAGCAGAAAGAAAGTTACCTATAGAGCTGATCAGCAGAACAAAATAAAACAGTGAAAAATATTCTCCCTGAACGATTGTTTCTGTCAAAATGTGGTTTAAACAAATTCTGACTCCAGTTAACTGCAGTTCTCTGGTGGTTTKAATGCTTTTAAAGCTTCATTAGGAAACACACATTTGTGAGAATATTTGTATCCAAATGTCTACAGCATTACTATAGTAAATTCAGCCCTCAGCATGGAGGAACAATTTCAAATATAATTAAAAAAAAAACAACACATATTTTAAAATAACATTTGAATTTAAGTAAAACTTAGACTAATTCACTTATGCATATTCAGCACCCAATGCTGCAGTAAAAACAGACTGTCTCTCCTACCCTTTCACAGATACATCAGTATGAGTTATGCTTATGTTTACTTCACAGAGGGAGTTTTAAGATTTAAAAATTCATAAATCCATCACTGGTTTTATTTTCTGTCCTGTTTAATAAGTAGCCTCAATCTCAAATTTCCCGAGGAGAAAACGTTTCCCCTGGAATCTTAAAGAATTTTTACTGCATAAACTATCAATTATTTTCCCACCAAACAAGCCAGGTTCATAGGGCAAAGTCAGAAGGAAGAGAAAGGAGGGGAATGTTTTTGTGGATTGTTATCTACAGACCAAATGGAAAATCTTCAGCCATTTTGTTCCTTCAAGGTACATCAAAGAATCTCCTATTTAAGGTGTGAAAATGTCACTTACATTCTTCACCTCAGAAAATGAGCAGAGCTCTGAATGTGATTTATGTCCCACCCGTGCACTTTTCTCTTTTAGGGGCTGATACTCTCCTTTTCAACTTCCCTCCAGCTAATGCCATTTAATACTCTCAGAACCATCAGGCTAAATTCAAATTTTCTGCTCCTTAGAGGCTGTTGTTATGCACCACTGCACATTCCAATTGCAAATACACATGAATGCTCCCATGTATTGTAAGTTATTTTTTACTGGCAAATTCTGCTAAATTGTAAGTTAGGAGGCACTACTTGAATTCTCTTAGGTCTTTAGAAAGCTTTTAGATGTASCAGGAGTAATAACATGTAATGAATATGAACTGATATTTCTTTTCTGTATTTACACTGAGTTGGCAATTTGCATTTTCTAGATAGATGACTTATAGCCAGCCTTCCCAGTACTCTGGCAATTACTTCTTAGAAACCCCTGACAGGCTGAAACCTCCAGAATCACATCTGTTATTCTTGGTTTGATCCCTCTTTTTTAAATTAAAACCAGTAGCTTTATCAGCAAATGAGAATTTTTTTTTTCCCCCTCTGGAAATACTTACAAAACTGCACATAAATTGAACATGCCAACTTATCTCATTTTAGGGTTGGCACATCTYCTGGGTTAATGACCAGTGTTCCATTTCTGTGACAGAACTAATTGGGGTAAGGAGGCCATAAATAAATACAAAACCCCACAAATTCTCTTCCTTTGGGGTAATCTGAAGATTTATAGGAATAGAGCGAGATGTGATTGGAGGGGAAAGAGTAAAAAAAATCAAGGAGTGCTAAAAGGCTTGTCTGATCATTCTGTCTCAGTTTCCAGGCACAAATTTAAGCAGATTTTTCTAATATCTGATGGGACTTTTCCTTCCCCTGAAAGACCAGCTAAAATGCAAAAAACAAGTTAAATTTTCAGAAGAGAAAAAACCACGATACCACATTTCTGCTCCCAAAACAGACTGGCTGGTTGATCTAAAAAGCTGCATTGAAAATRGAAGCCTCAACTCCACATCAGCAGCTGCCCAAAACATGATTTGACAATAGTTTTTCACAGCTAAACACAAATTAAGTATTGTTMAAGAGAGAAATGTCCACACTTGGTTGGAGCTCAGTGTCAATGTCTAAAAAGCCAGCTTCATTTATCAGGCATCACTAATCAGAAAAATCCAATTATMAATGGATTATAGGAAAGAATAATTCACGTTTGTCTTCCATGATTAGGTCAGAAAATGTACACCATTCACTTTTTACAGCTACTACAACTCAGTGATGTGATGTCCCTTAATATTCCAGAACAAAYGTTCTAAATCCATGTGTACACCTGCAAACTGAAAGAACTCCTAAATGCAGCTGGAGACCAAAGGATAACAGGTTTCCATTATAGATTTGGGCAGCAGAAGAGGAGGAAAAAGAACATGAAATACTGCAGAAATGTAAAGGTGTATCACAGTTCTGCTTTCAAACCAAACTCTCTCTCTCTCCTCCAGACTTGGACTCTGTGTTCTCCAGATCTCTCCAGCAGTGCTGTAGGAAGCTGAATTCAGGTAAATTTGATCCAAATAAATTTGCAAAGATGCTCACACTTCCTAACCCCTGGGTGCCTCCAGAGAAGCCCTCCAAGTSTGAGATACACAAACAAAAGCAGCTGAACACAACCTTAGCAGCAAACCATCCTCAGCTCCTGAGCCTGCAGCAAGCCTCAAATCCACCTCACCACTCAAGGCCTTGTGTGCTGCTAGTACAAAAAAAAAATTACTGTGAAATTTGCTGATATTGCAGCATTTAGAGCATTACTTTTTTTTTTTTTTTTTTATTTTTTTTTTTTTTTTTTTTTTTTGCTAAGCAATGTCAGGCTGATTTAAACTAGTAGCTAAAGGCTATGACTTAAATTAAAAAATTAGTAACTCAAGTCAAGAATGTGAGATACAGAGCTAGATCACAGTTTTCTAGCCAGTACTAATGCTCACAATACTACCAGGAAAAAGTACTGTCAGAAGCACCAATGTGTGAGCAGCAACACGAATCACCAAGGTCTGCAGGCCAAATCAACAATGGGGATTAAAGGAGATAAAGGGGAAAATTTCTGATACTTTTATAGGTTTGTCCCATTTCTTGGTTCAACCCCTGTCATTCCTCCTTCCTCTCCTAGTTTTACCTTTCAAGCAAGCCTGACATCCAAAATAAGTTATAGGCTTATAATAAACCCTTCTTATAGGTGTGCATAAATTAGCATCTCAGTTCTTCTGCTGACAATTGAGAACGCCAAGCAGCAGAATGATTATCACCATCACTCAAGTTCAGGTCTCTGCTGGAGCCTGAAAGGACTGTGGCTGTTCTTAGCATGAAAATTTAGAACAAGTGCCACCCAAGGCTCCACAGAAAGATGTCAGCCATCACAATTCAGTGACATGTAGAAAAAACAAGGAAGAATCTCCTTAGCACAAAACTGGGCAGTGATTTTTCCTGCGTGACATGCTTGACACATGGGTGGAATGAGGCCAAAGCTGGTTCGAAATTTTGTTATCACAACTTTGCAAGCAAAAGAAAACAATGCCTAAGAACTGATCAAAAAWAAGGCTTAAAGCACCTGCTGCCTTYCACCCTTGTGCTGTGTGGGTGTTAAATGCCACCACACTAATCTATTAGCACAGCAGACATAAATACCTCAACAGTGTACAGCATAATGGAGCTTCCCTAAYACATCCCAAAATGCCACTGCAGTTAATCCACGAGCACAGATTTGGTATTGACTCCACAGTTCAAGTGCATTCACCAGGCAGAATAGAAACAGCTACAGCTCCTTTTGTCTTATTTCACACAAACAGCTAAATAGAGATTATCTATCAAAAAAAACAAAAAAAAAAGAAAAAAAGAAAAAAATAAGGAAACTGTTTCAGGGTGGTTTACAGCTGGGTCTGATCTTGTTCTGCAGGGCAATGCAACAAAGCAGCTTCATGCACGTTCAACAGGAATGATTCCTGCTGTGGTTTAAGTAATAAACAGCAAAGAAAGTTTAAATTGAGACTTACCAYGGGGCACCATATATTCGGAATCCTTTAACTGTTACCTCTGAATCTTGTAAGTAAATACTATTTGTCAGGAGTGACTGAACATTGTCAAAGTCCTCTGGTTTCAATTTGGACACAGAGGGAAAGCGGTAGTAATCTTGTTTAACAAGGTCTGCCATGAATTCCTTATCAAATGTCAGTTCATGATTCCCAGCAATCACTATTTTATATTCATATGGTAGGTTTCCTGAAATAACAAAAAAGAGGACTTAATTAGCACATTTCCTCCCACACCAGCAACGCTGGCACAATAAGCAGACAGCTAGCAGTGACAGAGTGAGACACCCAAGGCCTGTGTGCATCTAKTCTATATTCCAAATTCATTTGCAATGCACTTTTATAKAATTATTATTATTRTTGTTATTATATTTATGGCAGTATCTCATTTCTGTAAAGAGTACATAAGTAGAAGCAACCATGACACTCAGCCAAATAAGGCAAAAAGTAGGAAAAAGGAAATGTGGTTAATTCATTTGTCATGAGAGTCAGAAGTAAAGGATTATATGTTTGCTCCCCTCAATTCAGGGCAATGCCATTGTTTGGAAGGAAGCATGGATCATGCTCACAGAGCCAGATTTTTGGAGTTCAGAACAGATTTTCAAGCACTTGGTACCAGCAATCAGTGCCAGATCTTCCAAATAAACATACTGGGTGCTGAGCTCCCTTAAAAATACAGTAGTGGCTTCACAGAAGTTACGTTGTTTTACAAAATCTGTCCCACTGTAACTTGCCAAAAATCACACGTAAAATTGCATCAAAGCTAACTGTTCCTACCTTCACAATAACCCTGATTTCTTAGTCTAGTACCTTATCCTTCATTTTGGTGTTTATTAATAATAATCTTTGAGAAGTGGTTGAATTTGTTGTGGTTTTTTTTTTTTTTTTTTTTTTCATGAAGGCAGCAATATTTATTTTGTTTTTTTTTTTTTTTTGTTCATTTTCCACTTCTGAACACACAACATCTATCCCAGGGAAGACAGAATCAGACCTGATACATTTCTTGTGAGCACAGTTCCCTGAAATAGAGGTGGCTGTGCTAGTTTAGAACTTGACTTTCAACTTTTGAAACTGTTTGGGTTTGGTGTTCTTTTTTAAAGTAAGTTTCAAAGTGAAGCTGTAAGTATATACAACAAGATTAACTTTCCCCTAAACAAGACTTAGAGGGGAACCAGTCAAACCCCTCTGCTTTTCAATATTTACAGCACAGGAACAGAAATTACACAAGGTAKGCATGCAAACATCATCTCTGCAAAATCAGTTGATTCTGGACAGAAAAACAAAAAGCTACAAATCCCCTGAAAAAAAACCCAAGCAGACTATGCTTTTCATAGACACCCCACGTCTGAACARAATACAGCTTGTACATATTCATAACTCTCTGTGGTGTTGCATTAGAATAAAAGCTGGGGAGATGCAGAAAATGCTTCTCTACACTTTTTGACTCACTGCTTTCCCCCTTCCCTCCTCTTTCCCATCTCTGCTACGTGCTGCTCTGCAATTCATTTTTATTTAAAAACTCTATGTAGCCAGTACGTACAATTCCTGCTCTCTATGACTCCGGTGCACAAGATAAAATTGCTATTTTCTCTTCTCCCAGGAAATGTAAAAGATACCACCAGCATGACATTTGAGACACTTGTCATAACCATCAATCCCCCAAAACAAGCTATGTGTGATAATATTCTCAGAGAAGTAGGATGGAGCACTTAAATTCAGGTTTCTGCTAAGTTATCAACATTTGCCTGTTTTAACAGAGAAAACTTTTCATCTTACTGAATAGATGTCCAAGCTTTACATTTTCATTTATTTTGATAGATTGAAAACCAGTATTTTTTTGCTGATATTATGTCCAATTAAGCCTGAAGCATTTTTGCTCAATGCTTTTTTCTTGGCATTTTAAAAATAAAGGCTTACTTTGAAGACACATGGGACATGCAAAGGCAAACTAACRGTGACATCAGCAATTATTAAAACATATAAATACATTATACATGTTATATAAGCACCTGAAATCAGCAGGGAAAAACCCAGACAGTATTTCTTGCAATTGGTGTGAAGATTGTTGATATTTTTAGGGCTAAAGAGATGCTCCAGTTGGTCATTTTTTGAGAGGAGGTACAGGGGAGCTGGGGAGCAGTGGCAGGGAACATTCCTCCCACCACTGCTGCTACCAAAACCAACAGCAGGACTGAGGAATGAGGCAAAACAGGACCTGGAGGAGAATCCTGCAGGGATCCAAGTTCCTCAACAGCCACTCTTTGCGCTCTGGCTCAGTGATGCTGCACCCCTTGCCCCAGAGCTGCCACCAACCCAGGCTGCCCATCCTCCAGCAGCCAAAACACTCTGTATTGGTGCCCACTGCAGTATTTGTCACAGGAGGGGCACTTAGGCCTGGCTTTGTCCCCACCCAGCTCCCCCAGGCCATCACCAGCCCCATGGGGCTCTCATTCCCTGGTGCTGAGCTCATGGTGAGCAGCACCACCCATCAAAATACAAACAGCAAAAGCAAAGGAAAGGCAGCAACAAGAGGAATTCTCATCCATTCCTTGTCCCTTCCCCGAGGAAAGGCTTACAGCACTAATCACAGTAATAAATTACCTGCAATCAGATTAACTATTTATTCATCACATTCCCGTTCTGCCTTCTCAAAAGGCCCCGTGGCCACTGCACAAAACTGACTCTCTCTAATAGTATTTGTGAAATATTTTGGCGTGTTTTCTTTGCCCTTTGTCTATAATCTGCTGACCTTGTATTTAATATGGAAGCATGAACAGTCATCTTCAAAAATCTCCTGYTCCATGGTAATTTAGTTTCATCTTGACCAGATTAATCTCCAYGTATCTGCATCGCTGCCGCCTGTCCAGCACAACACACAGGTTGAAAGGCATTTCCTCATTTTCCTCCASTAAACCTTTGTTAGCTACATTTGGTCTTTATTAGTCTGATTTCCTAACTATCAAATCTTCCATCATGCTTCAGTAACGTTATTCATTCTAATTTAGACCGTGACTCTGGAAAACAATTAGAAGAACCCTCTTCCAARCTAGAAAAATTTGATCTGTTTGCTGGGATGAGCATTTCAGAAACCCCAATTATTAACTCCCAGCATCATAACTGAGTGTATTTAAAATATTTAAATGCTTAACAGGTGAGATCAAAAGGCTAAAATTACAACTACCAAAAGTGACCAGGGCACTAAGTCTGTGAAGGAGACTCACTTATACTGGAGTATTTGAAACCCATATTTATGTGCATAAACACACACAGAGGGTGTGCCTATATGTATCTTCAAAATAAAGCTATTATTTTGGTGAAGATGTTTTTCAACATCTGCTCTCATCAGCACAAGCAAGGGCACAATGTRAGCATTGATCAAGAAAACACTGCAATTAGACAAGTTGTTCTCCTCTGGAAGCCAAAAGGTCAGTGAGGCTCTTGCTCAAATAAAGGCAACAACAGTTAAGTCTGAATCACTTGTAAAAATGGAATTGTTTACAGCAAACACATTAATTTGGGAGTCTCAGAAAATTTCTGTGACTTCTGGTCTTAACAAGTCAACCCTCAAGCTACAGTCCCAAGCACCTTTGTCCCCCAGTGGTTCATCTTTACTCCCATCACCCCTTTCTTGCCAACACCCTTTGGTGGCCCCAGAGCAGAGAATGGATCAGGAAATTCATACAGATGGAAACTGATGCAGCAAAAAAAGGAATGGAGGCTGACTTTAAATGAATCATTACATGGGACAAGGGGAGAAGCTTGGGGTACAGAGGGTTGTGGGTTTTTTTTAACCTACATAAGTAGTTGTTCCAGTGGTTTTCTTTAAGTTCACCTTAAGCACTTGGATCCTARGAAGCCTTCATCTGTTGAACAACCATTGCCATTTTAATAGCATGCTTCATATGAGTACAGTTTAGTCACACAACCCAAGTTCTGCAGAGCTGCCAGACATGAAAAGGAGTCTGCCTGGCAGTGAACGCTAACTGCTGAGTCCCTATAAAAATAGAAAATCACATTATTTTTCGACTACTGTTACCTGCAAACCCCACAGGGAAGTAGGGGAATAAGAAATAATGTGATACTAGCTGTCTGTGTCGCAGTAGAAACCTGTATTTACACACAAATGATATGCAAGTGCTTTTGATGTGAAGCTGTGAATATGCATACGCATGCATTAACCATTCAAACCACACAGCCCTTCCATGAAACATGAAGCTTTTTTCATGCCCGTTTCATAGCCTCATAAACCCTTCGGCCATATGCTGAAGAAATAGGCTGAGAAAACCTTGAAGTATAAATCTTAGTCCCCTCAAAAAGAGGAAAAACTGCCCAAGAGAGCGATGTGTGTGCGAGTGAATCCTCCCAAATTTATGGTGTTTTATTTATGCCTCCAAAGTGCAGAACTGGTGATGGAGCATTCACCTATAACCAACCCCAAAAATGATAAACACAGAAGGAGCAGATTTTGTGTTGCTCCTAAAAATTTCCAGCTGCTGAGGGCAACCAGCCCAGCYCACCACTCTGCAGCTTTTCCTGGAGAGATTTCTCATGGAGAACCCATGGCATTGCAAGGCCACGCTTACTCTCTCTCTTCCTAGCATTTACAGCACACAGAGGCTCCTCTCAGCTTTTTAAAACAAAGACAGAATATCTCAAAGGCTCCCATTTCTCCTCCAGCAGCAATAAGTTAGACTGCATAAGCGCAGATCTACAGAGCTTCCACAGGATAAACTGGACTTATCCCACCAAAAACCGAGAACCAAAACTGGGTAAGAAAAACATGTTTTCTACAATGAGACTGAGCAACTGACTATGAAAACATGCTGGCTGTTTTAATCAAAGCAGCCTTGAGAAAAAGTCCTCAATGGAACAGCTCRAACTGGTATCAACCAACACACTGAAAATGCAGCCCGTGAATGAATTTCTATGCAGTTTAGCTCCCTGTGTCTGTAGAAACCTACACAATGAAACAATTAAAAACCATTAAAAAGCAGCAAATAAGAAACAGAACATGCACAAACTCAGAACATGCTTCTAAAATGGTACAAAAAAAAAAACTCCAGTGCAAGATCTCTCAAAATCTTCCCTGCGAAARCTAGTCTACCATCARTTCAGATGCATTTTTGGTTTTTTTTTTCTTTCCCCTCCAGTTTTGGAGAAGCCAAAATAAAGGCAAAACACACACACGGG